GATTGATGAGTGAAGGGTATTTCTGATGAAGGGCTTGATTTAAACATTCCAGTTGCTGACTATAGATCTCTGCATTGACAGTTTGGTGTGGATTGAGGAGTTCAAAATGAATTACTCCTCTGATGTCCCACCAAATGCAAAGCATCACTTTCTGTGGATGGAATCCAGGTTTTGTGGTCAGATGTGGTTTTTGTCTGGGACTGAGCCATTGTTTTTGGCGTTTAATATTTGCATAGAAAATCCATTTTTCATCACTGGTGACAGTTCTGTCCAAAAATGGTTCATGAGAATTACGCGTCAGAAGAGACAAAGCAACATTCACACTTTGGAAATGATGATCATCGGAGAGTTTGTGAGGCACATTTCTTAGATTTTTTGTGTGTTTCTCATGAAACACGCAATTTCAAGGTCATTCATGAGTGTGTTGCTTTGGATTAGACTTAACAAGCATCTTCAGAGCATCAATATGAATTCCAAAATGTCAGCCCCTGCCATCACAGTTTTTAATTCACCTGAATGAAATTTGCTGAACCATCGTTGACATTTACGAATGTTCAAAACATTTCCATAAACTTCTTTGCTATTCTTTGTGGCTACAGAGGCACTGTTTCCAATCTTGTATTCAAACAGCATTACATACCGAATGTGTATCTTGTTGTGTGCCATCACTGCAAGGGATTAGAGTATACTAAACTTTATATGTTATATAAGCTACACTAATGTGACGTTTAAGCAGTTCAATTAATTATTATTTGTGATGTACGTTTTATTTTTGGGGGGGGGGGGTTAATGAGTGTTCCAAAACGTGACATTAATTTCTTGATGACCTAATATATTGGCCAGACAAGCCAAATATATATATATATATGTGTGTGTATGTGTTTAGATACCAATAATAAAGCTCTTAACCCTTTCACTATGAGTAGGTTAAGGTGTGCATGTCATGACCTTTTATGGAGTTTCATTCAAAATTAAACTACTTTCTTATCAATGAATACGAATAAACTTGGCATCCAAATATAGTTAATAAATCTTCAATCTCCCCTGTATGAGAAGCCTGGCATGGCCAGGTGGTTAGGGTGCTTTACTCTCAATCTGAGGGTCACAGGTTCGAATCTCTGTCCCACCAAATGCATGCTCTTTCAGCTGTTGGGGCATTATAATGGTTAATCCAACTATTGGTTGGTAAAAGAATAGTTCAAGAGTTTGCGGTGATGACTAGCTGCCTTCTCTCTAGTCTTTCACTGCTAAATTAGGGATGGCTAGAGCAGATAGCCCTTGTGTAGCTTTGCACAAAATTCAAACCACACCCATTTATAACCAACAGAAAGACAAGGTTTTAATTTTTTAAGTGATGTATTATATTGTTGTCAGTACAGAACTTTGTCTTCAGTTTGAAAATTTTTCTCTTGGTGTTCAGTTTGAGAAACTTGGGGAATTTTTTTTAAGGCTCTTATGCCATAGTTAGAAAGCCAGTGAAATTATAGTAGGTATAGGACATAATTTTATTTGTGTGTGTGTTATTACTCTGAGTTTTTGTCCATTATTTAAGGAAATAAAAAAAATTTAATGTACCAGTACCCATCAGTATATTATTTAAAAAACAAAAAAAGGCTTAGATTTCAGGTGTCAAAGGCAAGTAATATATTACTTGTTTTTTCCATGTGTATTTTTGTTATTTCCTGTTATAAAAGTAAATAAAATGTAAAAAATAATAACTTAATAGGTTAGTTTAGATAAGATAATAATAATAAAAATAAAAAAACAATAATTCTCCACATGGTATGCTCATGAGTTGCACATGCATTATGTCATTCAATATGGTAACTTGAACTACTTGCTTGCCAAATGTTTTAGAGCTTTTTTGCAGGATTATTAATTAAACATGGTTCAAAGGGCAATATAATTAAATTTAAACAGATGTGTAGACTATTGTGAGCCTTAAGCTATTTAGGATAAACTATTGTAGTTTCCTGTTCCAATTTGCAATCATTATAGAAAGAAAAAAGGGGTAATTTAGATTTGTTTCATTGTTTTCATGGTGGTTAAAAAATCAGTCAAATTGACTGAGTCTGTATAGAGTTAGGGTAGAGAAAATAACAGATAAAATACAAAATTTAACTGAAAAAAGTTTGTTTATTTAAGAGGTTTTAGAGACTACCCACATGAAATTTGAAAATTTTCAAATGAAGAAAGGTATTTTTAATCTTAACATATAACCACTTAGCACTCAGTATTCAACGCTATAACTCCATATATTTAGAGACAAATCTTTAGTAAAGATACTTCATTAAAAATTCTGATTTTTTTCTATACAAAACACTTGTAATATTTACTGAAATCTTTCAAAATTTAGTGAATATACACTTACCATATTAAAAGCTTTAGTATGGAAACTGATGTTTCTTTAGGGTTACACGGCTGGTGTAATCCACCGACCTTGTATGAAAAAAGTTGATGACATTGACTCAAATAAGCTGTGTTCATATGAAACAGTACATTGTTTTTACTTCTGAATGAGAACATTGCTTTAATTTAACAACAACAAAAAGCAGTCTCTCGGGGTGTTTGTGATTAAATTTTATATCCCTCAATTTGTTTTTGATTTTTTAGTGTGTAACTTTGCTTTCAAACATTCAGGTTTCTAAAAGCAGGGTCTCAAACTTGTGTACAAGTATACTAGTGCTTATAGTTCCAAATTTTGAGCTTGTGTTTTAGGTGGTCTAGTTAAAAAGGGTGAACATCAACCAGTAAGAAAAAATAAAAACTATTTTGCTTTTGTTGTGATCTACTTAAAATTTAATAAAAAAGCTAAATTTCAGCACAACATTTGACTAATATCTAATGATTACATATTTGTGACATATTGTTACTTCACTATAGTAGTAGTAGAAACATATTCTTTGATCTGTTTTTTCCTCCTTATATTTTACCATTGGCTGTACAAGAAATGTTCAAAAACTGATTTTGCTGATCAATCGAATTAGAACTAAAAGTCCTTAAAAACTGAAACAATTTAAACAGCCACTGGGGTTCTGTTTTAGTAACAAATTGATAAACCAAGATATTTGCTTATGTTTCTTAAATTTTTGTTTTAAGGTTATTTATTTTTTACTAGCTAGAGTACCCATCCCCTGGACGGAAGTTGTATAAATTCGTGATTAAAATAAAAGGTTATCTTAGGATATGAAGGTTTCTTCCTTTATATGTAATTGTAAAAAATGCAATGTGAAACTGCAAGTTTGCATGTATCTTTGCAAACCTTCATGCCAAATTTGGTGAAGATCCATCAACAGGGGGGAAGTAGTGGTAAAAAATGCCCAT